GGTCGCCGCTTCTGTGGAGAAGCAGAGGCTGGGTGGAGGCGAAGGTGAATGGCAAAGTAGCGACGAGCGAAGTTACCTGTGGCACGAGCCGAACTAGAGGCAACGCGGCGGAGTCTTGGGAACGAGGTAGAGAATATGAATGGTAGGTAAGAGAGTCGGCATGAGGCTGGAGGCTTACGTTTTCTGCTGTCGATGACTGCATTAGGTTATTTTCGTACTCTCTACTCGATTGCCGTGCGAGCGGCCCACCCGCCCTCCCACTAACAGCCAAATGGCTGATCGGAATTGTCTTTGAAGGGTTTGGGTACCGCGGGAGTGTGGTCGCAGACGCAATGGCCTTCCCCACAATAAGTTAGTAGTGAGTACGGATCACGCGATGACGTTTAAGCAATGCAGGGCCTATAATTGCAGGCAAGGGATGAAGAGATGCACGGCTATACGCGCATATACGGAATATACAGTATAAAATGCACGAAAAACATTGTATAAGACACACATTGTACAAAAACATTGTATCACACATGACACAGAAGTACCCCTCTGGTCAAAACGAAGTCAAAAGTACCTCCTTGGTACCGTAGCGTCAATGTCACAGGTAAGCGGTCAATCAATGTCAAATATTCAATTCACCAAATTTCCCTAGCATTCAAGTCCGACTGGCCTACTGAAGCCCTCTGGCTTGTGGCTGGACGCGAGGTCTCCAAACACGGTACAGAAAGCTTATTGCCCCATGCACCTGGCAGTTCCCTCCAGGAGTTTTCAGCTGCCCTGCCGACAGCATGTACGATTTCAAAGCGGCACAGGTTGCAGCGAACACTGGTGAAGCTTTGCTGATTGCCAGGTGGTCTACGCGCCCGCGCTGCTGCACGCCACGCCAACGCCGAATATCATTCGTGTTACAAATATCAATCTTAGGGTCCCTCTTCCTCTTCTTGTATCATAGAGATCAGCACAAAGAGGGGCCTGTCCGCAATCCCGCAACCGCTTGGCCATACTTTCCACGTCTTTCATATTAACGGGTCCTTCCCGTGCTGCTACAACCGTACTTATTGACCGTACTTTCCACGTCTTTCGTATAACCGGTCCTTCCCGTGCTGCTACAACTGTACTTACAGGTCGTGGCTGACGCTCATCACGTCGCCAACCGAGCTGAAAATGCGCCTTTTTGCTAGCGCATCTTTTCTACCTTTCCAGGACTTGCATCACCAGTGGAAAAATGTTTGAGTCTGTTGACCACTACAGTGGTACAGCTGCCTTCACCGATTCACGTCTACAGGCCCCCAGCAAACCTTCGGGTACACGTCTTGGACTTCGTTGCAGATTCCGCAGACCTGTTAACGTCAATAGCACAGCTATAAGTGGATTGACAGCTGGAGGGAATATCTATCGGTGCGGTGAGTACGATCGGGGTGACAGATTGCAAGGTGTTGCGTTCGCTGTCCGGTTCGGGCTCTGTGTTTTGGTCTTCGCCACATGCAAGTGGTGATATCCGGAGCGCGGTATCAGCCTTAGTTTCCTTTTCCCGGCCATATGCGTCCTTTGTATTTTCTGAATCGCCCGCCAGGGATTTAGCGGAGGCCACCCAGATGCCCTTCAACGCCCTCTGTACGGGATAGCGGATGAAGTGCTGGAACCTGAACATGCCCCGCAGCATGCGGCCGTACGCCAGCAAGCAGGCGGCCCAAATCATATTACATGGTGGGCCATATCCGTCGGCACGCCTACAGCAGGGGCGGCGGCTCTTGCAGGACGAAATGTCTTTGGAAGTTGGCCGACCGGACTAGTCGAAGGGGCCTCTTAGGTTGGCGCTGGTCGCAGTGCATAGCGCGACTCCTTTTGGCTTCAGGGCGCTGATATCAATGTGCGGATCCAGCTTGTGTCCGCTGGAACCAGAATGCACCGTCCCAGTTACCTGAAGACGCCTGTGTGGAATGTTGCATGTGCATGTTTACCGCACACTTGGATTGTGCCAACACGTAGCGGTTTCCGTGGTCGAGCCTGACACCGCACATCCATCGTGTGTGGGAGCATGGGGATGCATGGAAGCACGGTGTGTGTGCGTGCTTATGTCTGAGCACACACATACACGGCAGGTGCCTTGCGCCCCCTTGACAAGCGGAAGTTTCCGGGCATTGCTTACGTCTGCCAGCGCTTTGGGGGACTGGTCGTATGTAAGGTAAACCACCTTGTAAGCGCAGGCGCAAGGCTAACAGTGCTTGTGGGGGACACAGCCTGCTCGTCTATGTGTGGGACACACACACGTGTTGCTTCCTCCATGCATTCATCACGCTCCCACACAAAGGAATGACGGATGTGTGTTTTCCGGCTCGACCAAGGAAAGCGTTATGTGTTGGCATAACCCAAGTGTGCGGTGAACGTATACACGCGACCAGTCAATCCATGCAGAGCTCAACCAAAGCGAGCTAGTCCGATAGGCCGTCCGTTGATTACCATAACTATATTTTCACGATAGTTGTTTTATGAGATTGGCTATGTGTTCGGGTCTTGTTGCCGCCTGTGGGGCTTCCGGTGCAAGCTACTGGCGCTTTGAGCACGGATAAACACGTTGATAAGGACTCTCCAGTTTGCATTGGGCTTTACGGCTAATAGTATGTATGGGTGTTTGGTGGGGCTTTGTGCCTTCTCTGGCCCAGCAGGGCCCTGCTATGCGCGGTATTTGTGCACGGGTGATTTGTCGCTATCCGTCCAAAACCAATGTAACTAGACCTATTTCGCTAAGGGTGCGTTCACATGTAGTGTAAATCGGATTATTATCACATGTCCTATTCGTTCCGGCAAGTCAAATTGTATTCACATGCGATTGCGGCACAGAACGTCGCACAGTCGCGATTCGCCCATGACAGCCTAAAGCTGGCCAGCATTATTCTAAGAATATGCCTTTTCAATCAATGTCATCGCCAGCCTTGTACTGAATAGCTGCAACTATTGGCGACGAATGGTCGGTGCGCTTTGTGTAATCTATCAATTGGAAGACGTGAAGGTATTATCATAGATGTATCTATGAACAATGGTTTGTTAAACGGCCTTCTCTAGAGAATGGGTTTCATCAATTACGCCGAATCATATCCCAAGAGGGGGCCCCCAGACCCCTATTCTGATTCAGGCCCATTAGCTCCAATTCAGAGTCCAATTCGCACGAATCAACCCTGATTTGCCTACATGTGAACACGTCCTATTCAGGTCTGATCAAGCAGAAGAGGTAAAACTTTCGTAAACTTCACGTTGCAGTATACGTGATTATTGAATTCCCTAACGACCGGAAACCACCCAAGGGAAGGGCTATGTGCAACAGCGACTGGTTTTCAGGAAGTAATCGGACTATGGGTGCCAATCAGCACGGCCAAATGGAGCGGAATCCGACATCCAGGCTAAGACGACAGAACTCATGACGTACTCAGATGTCGTGTAAGTTGGCATAATTCGCCCAAATTAAAAAATAACGTAGAGCGCTGGTTGCATTGAAATCTCAAGCGGGGTTGAGGCGGCTAATCGAGTACGATAAATCGATGTAAGTGCCTGAATCTTTTTCAGGGAGATCCAGAAGTCATTTTGCATTAGAACATTATATCGTTATTACATGAACATCAGCCGAACATCAGAGCTGGCACCTATCTGACACCTTTTTCGCAATCATCCTGTCTTACATGTACAAGGATGGTAATGATTTCTGTCACAAATGGCATACTTATACAGCAATCACTCTGATGTAATGTCAGCCTGCATTCCGGGAAACTGCGACGGTGCGTGCGCCACCGCTTGCTTGCAATCTCGCGGGGATCGCTAGCCGGAAACGGGCTTGGAATCATACTCCGAGCTACAATAAATGTAAACACCCACTACGATAAGTGAAACAGTCCTTACTAATTCCAGTTCCAATATTTTGAAGCCGATGGCTTTACGCTCCTCGTCCCGGCAGGTTGTTGGTGGAGGACTACGCAGGGAGTGCAGCGTTGCCCAACAGAGGAGTTTGGTCCCGGTACCAGATGGGTACCGCCGCAGATGTCGCATCGCTTTCATACAGCTCCGGAAAGCCCGATTTGACTCTCCGTACCGCAAACCTGCGAAGAAAAGCACGGCAGAGGCGAGAAGACGGTCTCCTCTTATAGTCGGGCTGGGAGCTGCAGTAAGAATTTAGAACCCAAATAGTCGGATATGTGCAGCCTACACACATTCATGAAGCAAATGTAAATCGATAGATAATGAGGGCCAGGAAAATTGCCCAAAGCATCACCCAAAAAAATACAGGAAAAGCTTGGAGGAGGCTTCTTAATTACATAGGAAATGTTTTAGATTCTTCAGCGGTGGCCGTATGGCCGCCCGTATGCTCCCACCCGCTCATACGTCCGAGACTGTCAGTGTGCACTCAGGCCAGGAATGCCGTCATGCGGTCACCCAGCCATCTCCCATATATAGATTTCGCGACTGACCGACGGTGCGCGCTCATAAACCATGCAAACGTATTCGTGAACAGTCTTTTATATGTAAGTTGGCGACCCTGTCGCTCGAGTGATCGGCTTTGCCCGTTAGGCCGCATGCACATTCCTGCTAATCCATCGCCGCGTGTGAGGGCAAGCGAGGAGGAGGAGAAAACCTAACAGTGCTGCTCGTCTAAAGGAAAACGACGTAGACACGAGCGGTGCCGCAAAAAAATCCAAAACCGTTATCTGAGCAAAAAAATAAGGAAAAGCATTGTGTGCGAAAGTGTCGAGCGCTTTACGGAGTATCAACGTCACGCTGAAACATTTACGAGCCCAGGAAGTTCCACTTCTAAGACTTTCCGATGCAAGCAGAGGAAGATAATCCGCCTTTTTCAATTCGCCTTTCCTTTCCGATGTCGCCATTTGCCCCATAGCCCTACCCAACATGTCTGCAGTATAGCAAAACCTGACGCTGGTACAATAATTTATCCTAGCGTCCTGACTGTTGGCAACGTAAATACCTCCATAGCTATGGAAGTCTTAGGCCTGAAATTCTCCCAAGAATTCGCTCACAGTTCGCATTCCGCACTTACCTGCATAATTGCCACCCTCTCCCTCGGCATTGCCATCAGCACACCTCAGCACGGAAATTATCCCAGAATCAGAGCTTTGTGTATGGTGTGCTTGAGGTTATATACCAAATCTCGTTTCCTGCCCTCGTGGTACGCACACGTACGCGTCAATCATCCGTAGCCATCCAGGGCCGCAGTGTGACAGTGTCTGTGCAGTAGCCGTCACGTACGTGAGTTGTCAACAGTTTGAAAACCACCGAACCCAGCCCAGCCCAGCCCAGCCCAGCCCAGCCCAGCCCAGCCCAGCCCAGCCCAGCGCCATTTTCAGCAGAGCCAAGCAAACGGCTTCTCATTCCAAACCCATTCCAGGAGCGGTAATAGCCACGATAGCCATTGATAGCGTGGGCAGTTCAGGCGGCGTTTGTAAGCCAACGGCTTCCACACCATTGGTGAAAACCATTGGAGCAGAACCAAACCTCGTGCGAACCAAACCACGCGCATCCACTTTTCGAAACAATCGAACAGAAGCACCATCGAGCCTGGGCATGAAAAGGTCCGCGCACCAACAGTGGCAAAGAAGTACACGTGCATGCAAACCAAAATAAATGCGGCGGCTCACGGGATGCAGATAAATTGCCGGCCCACATGCCCACATGCATACAACATAACATTTTGAGCAACATACAACCATAGCTACTTGACCACTGGGGGGGCTTCATTCCATGCCAACGTTGTGAGGATGGAAGGGACGACAACCAGGGACGGCACCGCAACACACACACACACACAGACAAACACACAGACAAACACACAGACAAACACACAGACAAACACACAGACAAACACACAGACACACACACACACACAGACAAACACACAGGCACACACACAGACAAACACACAGGCACACACACAGACAAACACACACACATATTGCAGGTTGTCGCACCTCCTCATTTCTCATACTCACAACAACAACAAGCTCCGAATAAAAAGCTGACTCCATACGCAGACATACAGACACACATCACCTAAGCGTGAGCTAACAGCACTATTAATTGACGAAATGAACCTCGCTCCAGGACATGTGCGTCGCGAAACGAAACTGCGATGCGGCGTCGATCTCGTATGCAAAACATCCAATATCACAGCGCTGAGTCCTCTGATCTCCCTGATCGCTCTAGCGGTTGATACATTTTGCAGTGCAACGAAAACGAAACGAACGGAGAGGGACAAAAATGTGCACCGAGGATATGGTACGACGGCCATGTCGAACAACACACCGGCCCCTAAACCATCACCAGCCAAGTGCCCGCTAACAAGCAACCAACACCCTTGTACAACAGGATATACCGTTCATGCAACCGAAAATCGCAAAGACCTCTAAACAGCAGCACTTGCCGGGATGACACACACACATACACATATACACACATACACACACATACACATACACATACACATACACATACACATACACATACACATACACATACACATACACATACACATACACATACACACACATACACATCTACACACACGCACGCACATACACACACACGCACGCGTGTGCCGCCATTTGTAAAGTTGCGGTCTTACTAAGCTATAAGCCTATTAGCGCTGCACCACAACTAAACATCCGGGCGGGCGGCATCACGCCAGCCTGGAAAAACCAGCAACCCCTCAACCAAACACCGAAGCCATGATAGAAAGCTGAGAGAGGCGCACTAGAGGCAATGAAAGGAAGTAGGAGCAGCACACACAGTAGCAGACATGTGCTGCTGCGGCTCAACCCCCAAATAACGCCCTCCGCTCCAGTCTTTCGTTTCATGGTTCCTCTTTATCCTTCCGATCCGATGACGATGATGATGATAATGCACAACAATCATGCACAAACGCGGTTCCTACGATCACCCCTTGCCGGGCCCAGGCAGCGCCTCCCGGTAGCCTCCTCCTCCTCATGTGCAGGAACCTAGGGCCCCTAGGGCCCCTAGGGCACATACCCTTGGAGGGTAGCAAAACTCAAAGGTGCCATACACATGCACACATACACACGCACACATGCACACATACACACGCACACATACACACGCACACATACACACGCACACACATACATACATGCATTCGCATTAAATCCACATTTGCACACATTTGCACATCTGCACCAGGGACGCACCTGCCGCCACAAGGCCCAGAAGGCGGAAATTTGAGGCGGTTCTCCGCAATCACGCAAATCCGCAATTTCTCAATACGTGACCACCAAAGGACCCATCAGCCCCATCTTTTGGCCCTATTGGGCGACCGCGCTCGATCACGACTTTAGCATGTACGCTTTATTGCTTTCACATCTTTCTCAGCGTACTCAGGGAGTTATGCTTCCAGCAATGCGGACTTTTACCGCCTTCCTCAATGCCCATCATATTTAAATAGCCACCCCCCGATATCCTTATACCCCGACCCCGCTACTGCACGCGGGAGGAGACACTTTTAAATTCTCTTGCTCCGCTTGCTTTGCCTGCCGGTGAGCCGGTAAGCACCACTGCACTGCAATGCGCCCTCTCGCCCCCTCACCCCCTCACCCCCTCACCCCCTCACCATCCGACATACAGACGATGTGTATACACGAGGTGGCGGGCTCGACCACGGAGAGCGTCACGTGTTGGCATAACCTAAGTGTGCGGCATAACCCCAGTGGCGGCATCGGTTTGGCGGTTGGCAGCAGCTCAATCCGCCTGCCTCCGCCAAAAGGCGCCCCCCCATCATCGCCGCTGCCCGCGACCCCGGCACTCCACGTTATGATGGCTGTTCCAGTGTTCGAGCTGGCACTGGCTGCTGCAGTAGTACGCGGATTTGCAGAACCGACACGTCTTGCGTCCGGACAACTCCGCCTCACTGCGCTCCTCGAGGTTCATGCAAGCCGGGTTGGCGCACAGCTTGATGCCCTCACTCTCCACCACCTCAGCCGCAGCGTAGGGGGACGGCAGGTCCGGCAGATGCGCTATGCTGTGCTTCTTCGACACCTCCGCCGCCAAGGCCGCCAGCTCAGGGGTGAACTCCTGGGGAACCAAGCCCAGTGCTGCGGTTCCGTGTCCGTGTCCTACTGCACCGACCTCACCGCCATTGTCGCCACGGCTGTCCTCACTCCCCCAGGCGTCCAGCACCGACAGCAAATTGTGGCGACCTTTATCTTGCAACTTCTTTCGAAGCCAGTCATCCAGCAGTATATCCCTGTCCAGCTTAGGGCGCCCGATACTGGAGGACGAGGAAAGGGAAGCTGCCTCTGTAGGTGCTGGGCTGAGCTGGGTGGGTTCAGAAACAGCAGCCGCTGGGGGCCCTGCAGCCGCTGGGGGCCCTGCAGCCGCGTCCGCCCGCGTGTCGCTGTTCGGTTTGGTGACGCACTGCCGCACGCTGCGGGGCACTGCCAACACAAGCACCTCCAAAATGTCGAGCACTGTGGGCAACAGTACCCTGGGTTCAAGCCCGGTGAAGCGCTCGCAATCCCCAACCCCACCAGCCCCCACATCCGGCCCTGCTGCATGGTCCCTTGGCTCGTCCTGTTCGCTCGGTCCTCGAGGAGGCTCCCCACTCCGTTCCAACTCCTTGAGCTGAGCAAAGTACTTGTTGATCCAGGCCAGCATGTCCACCCCAATCATTAAAAAGGTGACCCATGCCGCGTAAGCGACCGCACCGGAACCGCAGGGCCCCCCGCTGCCGTTCGGGCTCGCCTCGCCGCCACCACCACCGGCTGCGTCTGTGGAAGGCGCTTGCTGCCCCCCTTCAGCGGAAGGCGCTTGCTGCCCCCCTTCAGCGGAAGGCGCTTGCTGCCCCCCTTCAGCGGAAGGCGCTTGCTGGCACCCTTCAGCGGAAGGCGCTTGCTGGCCCCCTTCAGCGGAAGGCGCTTGCTGCCCCGGGCGATCTAACCACTCCGCCTCGCTGCGCATCCGCGCCATCAGGCACTGCAGCGCCGCCGCCAACACCCAGCGCAGCACCGCCTTGCCCATGGCCACAGAGAACCAAGTGTCAACGACGCGGGCCAGCCACACAGCGTTCGGCAGCCATTGCGAAACGGCGAAGATGGCAAGGGCCTGTTGCTGCGTGGCTTCTCTGGTGCCAGCTGGCGGCCGGGCCCCCAGCCGGTCGACTGCCTCGACGGGCAAATCGCCGGACTCGAGCGCCACGTTCAACGGCAGTCTTCGATCCGCAGCGCCTCTGGGCTGCAGCAACACGTCGGCCTGTTGCTCCAGCAGCGCGGCCATGTAAGCAGTGATCACCACCTCAGCGTCCTGATGCTCGTTAGGCTCGTTAGTGCGCGATTGGGACATGGCCGCGAAGCCCCTCTCCTTGAATACTTCTCCCAGCCGGCGTAGCGTGACGATCAACGACGCCACTTGCCTCACTGACCCATGGGTCAGCACGGCCGTCCATACGCACGGCCATCGGAGCAAATGGTTGACTGTGCAAAGGCACGACGTCTCTCCCCTGCTGACGGAGCCGGCGGCCCTGCCCCAGCCTCGCAACAGCTGTTCGATTGTCGGCACAAGACCCGCTTCGAGCGCGCAGCGGAGGTTAAACGCGCAGCGAGATGCCCCAACGCCACCTGAGCGGGAATGTTAGGAATGGGCGCAGAACGAACCTCGTTTGGTGATATTTTTCAAATAAGCGTAGGAATGGGTGGCGCGAGCGCGGGTAATGCTCCTATTATTACAACCCCAAAGCAGCATTTTTCCCAAAGAATCCTCGGACCCATCCACTCTCTCTGCCATACAATTCATGCAATCATGCAATACAATCCTGTAAGTAAACTTTACCAGATCGGGAAAAAGCCAGTCGAAATTGAAAGCAAACGCAAAAATGGTTAATCTTCCTGGCACTTCTTACATACCCCCTATTAGTGTGGGATCATCATTCCCATTTTCCAACCACAGAGTGTAACTTATGACGCGCACAAAACCTCCTCTGCGCGAATCGCCTCTCAGCCCATAACTGGTACATTCCAGATCCGAGCATTCCCTTCCACAACACCAGCTACAAAACGTCTCGGGAGTTGTAGGCCTGCCCCGGGCTCCTCCATGTCCAAGCCAATGCCCCCTCTGCGGGCGCCTCTTCAACTTCTCCCGCAGTTTGATTTCTGCCGACTAGCCCTCTCCCCGCCCACGCCATCTCCCGCATCTTGCCACCCTTCCACTTGCCTGGCTGAACCCCCCCTCTACTTCCCAGTAAATCCATCCTCACCGGGCCTGTTGGCTATATGCAGCGTGCACAATCTGGAGATAAACGACCCAGTAATACAGTCGCTTTCGCTCGGAGACCCCTCACCGGGCAACTCGATGTCGGCGTGGTTCACGGTCAGCAACAGGCGTGACAAAACTTTTATATCAGGAACAATCTCTACTAAAAGCTGATTATTTTGCTGTTTGAGTTGTCACCAGAATCCACCGGGCCTTCCGCAGCCTGTGGCTGATGTCAACTAGGAAGCTCGCAAGATGGCGTGTTTAACAGTTTTTTTTACCATGTCACGTCTTCGCATTTTCATGTAAACAACTCCCCATATGCCATTACATTTGTATTCCGGTATGTAAAAGTCACAAAAACGTTCTAGGGCGTCCCTGATGGAAAGTTAGTTGGGGCTCCAAAACCACCACTCTCAAGCATCCCGTACAACAAACTCTTGGAGCCCGTACCTTAATCCGTACAACACCCAGCATGTTTTTGTTTAATAGGTTTTGGCTTTTTTGGTCAAGCTCTATCGTTTCCCCCGAAGCGAGCGGGGTATAAAACTGCCTCTCCTAAACCTGACCCCCCCTTGAGAGGTCGAAAGCGGTGTCACCGGGGCGCTGCGCTGTGGGGGGCATTTAGCGCATCAGACGTAACCCCACGACGCCTCACACTGCCGCCAGACTGCCTGCCAGACTACCCACCGCCTCTTGCCCCCCCCCTTTGCTTCTACGTCTGGTACACTCTTGCCCTGGGGCAGCAGCTTCACTCGTTTGTGGTTCGTCTTTCCCCCCCCCTTACTTGCGTATCCTGTCTCCTCACTCCGAAAGACTGCCTGCAGCCCAAGAACCCACCTCCTCGCCTTTTCCCCCTCAGCAGCCACTTCCCTAGCTGACCCCCACCCCACCCCACCTTGCTGCAGCTGCAGCTGCTGCTGCTGCTGCTGCTGCCGCTGCTGCTCATCCTGATCCTCCGGAGGGAAGTCGAGCTTCAGCAGGCCGCCGATGAGCTGCAGCGGTCGGTGCTGCGCGTATTGGAGCTTCACAAACGGCCTTCTCAGCAGTGTTGTCAGGATGTGCCACAGCCTCCCTAGCCGCGCCCGAATGTGCCTGGGACGCAGCCGGACCGCCAGGCGCACCAGCAGCATGGCTGGTTCCACAAGCGTGAGCTGACTGCCCCCCGGCAGGTGCTCCACCGACGTGAAGGGGTCCACCACACACGCCAGAGCCTCCAGCACCATGTCGAAAATGTTGACCGGGCTGTACAGGAGAACTGGAGTTGTCTCCGGTTTCGGAGCCGCCGCCGCCGCCGCCGGCTGCTGCTGCCCCTCCCGCTGCGGAGGCATCGCGGGGAGGACCAATTGCCACACGAGCGCCGCCGCGCCAATGCGGGAGAGCAGCCGGTCCTTTAGGGCCTTCACGACGTGCGGACCATTCACCAGGTCAAGGAGCTCTGGCAGCATGGAGTCCGGCAGACCAAAGCGGGGTCCTGCGCCTCCCGTCAGCCTCAACCTGGCCGCCACCACCTCTCGACCCAAAAGGAACTGCGGGCGCAGACAGCACCCCGTGGCAGGCGGTTGCACCCAACGGAGATGATGTACATTTTGTGTAATGATAGCGCCGATAGCTGGCAGGTTTACGCAAAGCTGTGGATACAGCAAGGCCTTTGAGAAAGGCCCTTGCCGCAAATCGCGAGCCAGGCGGGGACGCCCCACCCGTCCACTAAGCTGAGGAACAGGACAGACCACTCGACGTGCGTCCACGCGCGTTTATGCGCCCGCTATTGGCCCATTAGGCGTCTGTGACTGATATACATCTTTGCATGCTTCTGGTACCGTTCCAAAACCACATTAAGCTACTACTCGCGCACTCACGTCACACGTGACAACAACAACTGTTTTCAATCTTGCACTGCCTGGGTTCCAACAGGGGGTTTTGCAATCGCAGCCAAGCTCTTGAATGGCTGGCTGTGATGCCAGTGGGGATGCAGTACAGACACCATTCCGTGGTCGTACGACGGCGAGCACCAAAAGAATTCCGTCACCCTCTAAGAACCCAACCAGCCACGCTAAGAAGTTTTACCTGAAGACATGTCCCGGAGAGGACAGCGCGCGCTAGCGACAACAACCTTGCTGCAAGGTCCTCGCCTGTCGGGGTTGTCTCGTTGTCCTGTGAACCGGTTTTTGATAACGTCCGCTCCCCCTCCGTCGCGGCCCAGCACTGGTCCAGGAGGCCTTGCTTTCCCGCAATCCCGTGTAAGGCGCTCACAATGCACCCGCACGTCTCCATCACCCCCATCCGAATGTTGCTCGCTTGGCTCCCCGCCAGCTGACCGCGCGTAGATGCATCACTGGCCGCTTGCAGGATCCGCAACAGACTTCTAGACATGTGCTCCAGAAGCTGGCTGGCCGATAGCGCCCGCAGGCATGATTCATACAGAGCAGTACCATTACTGTCGGCAGCATTCAAAGGCCGGTCGCTAACTGTCAACTGCGCACAGCTGCTAAATATGAGGCAAGTCTGTGCGATGAGCCGCAATTTGGGCTCGACGGCCTCAGGCAGCAGGTCACTCCAAACTGACAAAAGTCGGGCGTAACAATGGAACGTTTCTGTCGAAGTAAGGACGTAGGCCAGATGAGCACCAAAGGCTGACCCGGCCTTCAGTGCGTTGCTTTTGATAATCAAAAACAGGATGCTCCCTAAAAGAAATTCCCCCTTGCCTACTCGAGTGTTCCCGCTCCGCGAAAGTTCCTCTAGTTGACGCAACGTTAAGCTGTGTAGGTTAACAACCTCCAACCAAGCAGCCTCTCCGATGCTTGCTGCAACGTCATGACTGTGAAAACCGTCCAAGCTGTCCACAAGGCTCCCAAATTCCCTGACGTTATTCCGTGGCACACGCGCCAAACCTTCCCCGCCACACTTGCAGGACTCTTGTAAATTTAAACAGAGCCTTATAAGATCAGTTTTGAAGGCTTCCACAGAGAAGGTTGAATGACCCTGGCGGCGAGACATGTTACTCCATACCTCAGACCAAGCAAAGGAAAACACCAAACTGTTTTTCGCGGAACACGCATGGGAACCAATGCTGTGTACGACTCTGCAAGCATCGCAGCTTTATGGCTCGAGCATCGGGGCCCCGGGTCCTGTGCTAGGCGAAGCTGCTCGTCCATAAAAAATGCTTTTAGCATTTGACTCGCACAAAAAACTTTTTGGAATTGCGAATGCTCTGTGTGTGGCAGCCTGTGGGATTCGGGAGCTCTTCAAAATCGTCGGACGGAAGGTCTCGCCCTCCGCAGCTGCCTGTACATAACGGTCGCCATCCAATCGAGTTTCAGCAAGCCGCCTGATTCGGCTGATAGGCAATCTTATTTGAAATGGTTGCCAGCTAACGTTGGCTTCTCGGTCATGTTCCTAAATAGGATACACTCACTGGACGACAGAAGTAGTGGAAAGTACAGCCATTTCCCGCGCGGAAAATTACATCGCATCCTGTCCTTATAGTATAAAAGGTTGTATAAAAGGTTGTGGCGAAAAATGTAATCTCATATAACATAAAATGGTCTATTGTGACCATAGAAGCCGGCCATCATTCACCACCCTACCCCCAATAGAGCTGTGAGTGAGGATTATGCCACCGCATTGCTTTCACGGCCGCAAAAGCATTTGGCACCTCAAGCTGGTATCCGGCCGGCATTTTAACGTTTATCGCATTTAACTGCAGGAGCGATTGTATGTACCTGCGCTGAGCAACCCAGCTAGTTGCATGCGACTGCAGGAGCGGTTGCACGTGTTTGCGCTCTTCTTATCCACAGCTCAATATAGTCCTTCCTTGTTGCACATTCATTTTACAGAAGTGGAAGGCCGCTGTAGCACAACAACAAAAACAGAAGAAACATAGTGCCCAGCATGTGCCCAGCCCCATCCGGAACAATGATGTAGCTCCCGTAAAACCCAGGCAATGGCACTGCAGGCACGCCTGCTTTCCACCGCACGTGAACAGCGGTGCAACCGGAACTCATTGTCGTGATTCAAATGGCGTCCCTTCGTTCTTTTCCTAAACCCTTAAGCGCAAAAGAACACCGCTACATCTCGCTAGCGAAGTGGTGGCGACGGTAGCTGTGGCAGCGTCCTCGACAATTGCGCTCAGCACAACGATGTCCGTACACACACACACACACACACACACACACGCACGCACGCACGCACGCACACACGCACACACACACACACACACACACACACACACACTCACGCACACACAACACACACGTGCACACACACACACACACACACACAACACACACACGTGCACACACACAACACACACGCACACACACACACACACACACACACACACACACACACACACACCACACACACGTGCACACACACACACACAACACACACACAACACGCAGATACCTGAAGGTGAAGCCCAAAGACGCTCAAAGAGTTTATGGACAAAGAGTTGCAAAAGACAAAAGAGCACATGAGAATACATACACTGCTGAATACAGGGTACAGGGGGGCCACTGAAGCCTCCAATGGTGAGGCCCAGCGCTCACAGGCTCAAAGCTTTTCCGCACATTCCTTGCTATCACACATGCGAAAACAGCTGCGAAGGGTACGATTCACAATATCGCGAAGGCGTGGCCAGCCCGGCCTATCCTGCTAAATCCCAAGCACCATAGCAGTTCTGCTTGCGTTGACCCTACCAGCTGCAGCTAGATAGTCGAAATGTTATAATGCAAAGGTTACAAACCGCTTGGCAAGATAAAATAACTAATGTGTAGCCTCACTTTAGCAGGGGAGATATTATTGCACCCATGTAAGGACCATGCATTAGTCAGGTACATGTCGAGTCCGTACATGTTGTACATATTGCTGTCGCACCCGGATAGTTTTTTTTCCGGCAGACATGGCGCGACTGGCTGGTTGACAACATTACCGTCCACGTGGATGTTTTTTTTTGGCGTGACGATGCGGGATGGGATGGCTAGACACAGAGTCACACAAGGTCACGCGTGGCAGGGAGATAGTCAAAGTGTCCGTCTGTCCTGGTTTCGCCTAGTTTCCTCGTGAAGTTTCGGAGTCGTGCTTCGATTCCTTTGTTTCCAACTGCGCCTAAATTTGCAGTTGTTCTCGACGCTTAAGACCAGGTCATCTAGAAAGGGCACATGGACGACTGCAGTTTTATTCCACGTCCTGTTTGGTATGCAACATGCGGTGGCCTAGAGGGTTTTACGCGATTTTACAGCTTTGCGAAGCTGTGTCCATGTACGTGTCCAGGGCACCCCAACCTTACTTGCATCCAGTTGCAAGTCGTGTGAGGGTGACCAAGTTAAGGTGACCAGGTTAAGGTGACCAAGTTAAGGTGACCAGGTGACCAAGTTAATCCCTCGTTTTGGAATTTTGTGATTTCCAGAAAGATTCCCATCAAAGCAGCGAGGAGACGTAGGATCAAATATACATTTGCAGAATCCAAACATGCATGTACGATTGCAGACTCCAAAACATACTCAGGCCCGTCGTGAGTCCATGGTGCTACAACAGGCAACCCTCGCCCGTACACTTCGCACAGTTGAGCTAAATAGATACAACGCTTGTACCTACGGTGCTGTGTAGCCGCGAATGTGGGCACGAACACGGCCGTGTTCCAAAGGTGTCTCCAAATGTTTTCGAGTGAGGGCGCGCGCCTTCCTCCCCGCACATTGCCCTCCCCTAAAATCCTAACGCCATGGCTCATTCGTTGTTGACCCATTACACTGGGGGTAATCTGTGACAGATCAAAGGAATTAAACGTTGACGATTCACAGCAGAGCGCTGTGTACACTACACCATCGCCAGAATGCTAGGAATGCTGATAATAAAGGCAATAAGGCCCATATATGATAGCTCTATACATGTTTTGCCGCCTGTTTGTTTTAATGGACCGGGCCACGCGCACACGTTTCGAGACTTGCCCACCTCACCCCAAACAGTCCCGTGGTCTGCTCTCACCCGGCGGCCCGCCCAGTTGTCACCTTCGCCATTTTCAGGTGTAGGGGCAAAGGGCTCACGCAAGTTCATCCTGACGCCCTGCACACTCATGACGCATGCCTGATGGCCTGATTCCATAGGAAAGACCTGCCTAGCGCTGTTCTCCAAAGATGGTAGCCTGCCAACGGACCAAGACAGTTGCGTCGCCATTCTACCGGAACGCGGCCTAAGCTGGCCATCTCCAGCGCAGCATAGTGCAATTTTAAGGACTGCGCTTGCCCTTCGCTAGGGATAGCTAGCTAGGACTAGATTCCGGTGCAACCGTCCTGTTTTATTGGCACGTTGCCATCTTCTGAGAAATAAAATTAGGCAAATGTTCTTGTGGACGTGGGGCTCCAGGCATACATAATGAGCTTGCAGGGCGTCGAGATGAACTTGCGTGATCCCTTGGCCTCCTATCGCGCTCAGTACAATAGGTACAAACCACCTTCATCTTGGGCGTTGGAGCCCGTCACGGCAAATTGAACAACATGTACCGCCTTGTGCTATCCTTCTTTACGCCGTCCTTCTAAAGGTGTTGAGGACCCAGCCGACCGGGGTCCAAGTAAAAGCTGCGATTGCTCAAGTTAACCAGTATCTGCAGAAGTCCTGACTGTTACGCTGCCGGAAGGCGAACTATCAGGAAATACTTGCGGAGCCAGCGGTCAGAACGAGTCGCAGCATTCCAGCTCTCAGCGGCTCCAAAAGCCCTGCTGTGCGGCAAAATAGGGAAGCAAGTTTTGTGCGGACGAATCCATATCACCTGTATGTAGTTTCGCGTGTATTGCACTGTACTGTAAAATTTCAAGGGCCTGACGATGCACATGATGCAAATAATTTCATTCACCGGTGCCAAGCAGACAATTGGCACGGGAAGGTCCTATTTACAATACTTTAGTTGCTAAACGAAGTCGCTAAAAGAAGTAACCTCGAGAATTCTGCCATGGCCTAGGATGCAAGGATGCAGTTCAACACACTGCAACAACCAACGGGTAACAACACCTCAGACGACACCTGGGGGCGCCTCCTTGATATCCTGAACTCGAACTCTCAGACAACCCGGCAATCTGCCTTCGCCAACCTAACCCATGGCGCTCATCGCTCACTAGACAACCCTTCATCCCCGTCGCTTACGGGGAGCTCTTCATCACATCCACCGAGCCCAGGAGATGTTACGATCCTTATCGGGCGTGACCCCTTCGCCGCGCCAAGCTCGTCGGCCCCTCAACAGCAACAGCAGCTGCAGCAACCAAACCCCCTCCACCACAGCCAACAAATTTTCTCCCATCCGCATGCACATCAACCTCAAATCCACCCTCCTCCACTCACATCACAAAGCTCCCACGCCAGGAGCTTATTGCTCTTCGGACAGCTCACTCGCAGAGCGCAGGCTGTGGCCGCAGCTGCAGCGCCCCATGTGGACACCGCAATGGGACTTGACCCCGAAACAGCCTCCACAGTATCAGCCTCCGCGGAGCGCCATAGACTCATTTCCGACAACGCGGGCGTCAGCTTCCAGGTGAGGTGAAAGGAGCCAAGCCAAGCGAACGAACGCCATATTGGCAGTCCTCGTGTTCCGTGCGTCCCCTCCGCTATTACTCCTGCGGGAACATGGCAGCCCGCACCGCCCTGCCATGGAACCGCGTTGGGCCGCACGGCGATGGGACGGACGCGAGTGGCAACACAAGTCCAACAAAGATTTCCAGGGACACGCAGCACAGCTGACCCCAGTCCTAACAGCGCTGCGGAAGCTGAGCCATAGGGTTCAGGGGCGCGGAAGCCGTCCTGGCAGTGGGGGTGATGCGGGGTGATGACGATGATGATGATCTGCGGTGCGGTGATGGGTCTGTGCGCACCCCCCCGCTCTACGTTTGGTACACTCTTGCCTTGGCAGCAGCTTCACTCGTGTGTGGTTCGTCTTCCCCCTCTGTACCTGTGTTGTGCTTTGCAAGAGGCAAGAGGGCCTCTTGGAAGCAGCTTGCGAGGAAGGGGATCTGATGTGATGTGTCCTCCCTGTGCTGTTCATTAAAAAATGCTAAGGAGCTTCACGGCGCGGGCGCGGGCTTCACTGCTCCCCTGCGCACCCACCACAGGTATTCGTGGAGTGGTTAGCGGATCTGATGCCCTTTCTGCTGCTGCTCTCCTGGGTGTTCATCCTCGAGCACGCGGGAGGTAGGTGGCCGCGATTGAGAGCAGCAGCAGCAGCAGCAGCAGCAGCGGCGGGTGCTCTGTGTGGGATTCAAGGCGGTGGTTAGGCTGGACCCGAGTCCTCTAGTCCCAGTCCCAAATGTCCGGATGCCAATCGAACACGGGCACGTTGGCCTGGACATGCGCACGGACGCAGCTACAGGCACGGGCTACAAGCCCGCGCTGGTCATGAGTACCGCGGGACAATCATCATCATCATCATGCGCTCCTCTTGCAACTCGTCTCAGGAAAGCCCTACGGGATGCCGCTAGCCGCTGCTGCTGCTGTGCTGATGATGCTGATGCCCTGTTGGCTCCATTCTCCTCTATGGCCAGAAGACCTCATCTCTGGGGGACCCCATGATGAGCTCCCACTGAAGGAACCAGCTGCCATCGCTTCCTCAACCACCCTCAACCACTCTCAACCACCCTCAACCGTTCTCACCCACGCTCAACCACTGTAACCCACTGTAATTCACTTCACCGTAACCGTCCTCTCTCTCCGCCTCTTGGAGATTATAGCGCTTACGTCCGATGCTGTGTGCCCTCTTTTCGCACCCCCTCCTTCCGCTGCCCCCTCCTTCCCCTGCTCCATGCTGTGTGTGCGCATGCCATGCACTGCCACTACCCCCGGTGCCCCCCACGACTGCCACTACCACACATACCCACGTCCCGCTGGTGACCGGGGTGCCATGCTGGTGAACATAACGGGCAGTCCTGCTGCTGATCTTGTTCCTGGCGGGGGGTACCTTCCATGCCAACGCGGACATCCGTCGGCTCATCGCGCTGCGGCGGGAGGCGCTCGTGCGCACCTGCATCAGCCAGGCGCTGACGGTGATGCTGTTCACAGCGGCCTCTGTGCTGGCCACCCTGCCTGACACGCGACTGCTGAGGGCGCTGACGCTCAGGTCCACGCAGACAGCGAGTGTGAGTGGAGAGGGGAGGTCCGAGTGATGGCTGGCGTTACACGCTGGGTCCTGTGGGATTATCCGTTATCGTTCGTCTGGTGCTGGCCGTACGCCAACTTGGACACTAAGGGGGGTAGAGGGAGAGGGGAAAAGACGAACCACGAGCGAGTGAAGCTCGTGGAAGGGGGAGGGGAAAGGGA